ATCCTAGAGAGTTGATCGTCATCAAGCTCTCCCCCTTCAGCCTTATCCCGAAGGATCCCTTGCCAGATCTATAGAACGGGTGCCGAGTCTGCGCTTTCTTGTCCTCGCTCTTCGGCAGGATCTCGGTCGCAGGCTCGGGGTCGATCTCAGCGTTTGCCGCGGCTGCGGGTCGCTTCATGGCCGGCCGCTTCGCCACCAGCGCAGGGATCTCGGACTCGTACTCCTTGCCGTCCTCAAACCGGGCAAACTTGAAAGCGGAGTCTGCGTCCTTCTTCACGAACATGGTGGCATACTCGATGCGGCCATCTGCGGGCTGCCTCGCCAGAGCTCCTTTGCTCCAGTCTGTGAAGGGCTTGAGCAGACCCTGGGGATCCACCGCCTCTTGGCTTGACAACACTTCGATCGGGGCATCCTGCGCGGTCACTGGTACCACTTGAAGGTCCTCATGCTCTGTCAAGCTTAAGGCTCTCACCATCGAGTCGTGCCTATAGCTGCAGGCTTGCGCCTTTTCGGAGCCCCGGCTGCTAGGAGGAGTCCTGCTAGGAGGAGTCTTGCTCCTGCGGCGAACAGCTGCTGGCTGCTCGAGGGCGACAGCAGAAGCTCGAACCAGACGGCCAATCCCAGCTCTGGCCCTGGATCCGTCCACCCAATTGCGGCGACGCTTGTTCACATAGGCGATCAGGCTGATGATGCCCTGAGCCTGCACGCGCACACTGCGCGCGCTTTGGCCGCCTTCGGCGTGCTCCTCGAACAACTTTCCTACGTGCACAGCGTTGAAGCGCCGCAGGGCGCCTTGCACATCTCTTGGGTTCAACTGCTTGGCGATGTGGAACAGCTGGCGCAGCAAGTCCTCAAAAACCAGGCACTGCTCCTCTAGGTCGACGAACTTCTCGTTGCGGTAGAGGCCGTCCCCGTTCTGCAAGGCGCGCTCGACGCAGACCTTGGGGGTGTAGTCCACAACGGCACGGAAGATTGCATCCTCCATGGTCATCGAGCCCTAAACTAACGATCTATAGCTAGCTACCCTACGTTCATGAACCTTGATCAGCGGCCCGGCGCGCAAGCACGATCAATTGGAGCACACATGCCTGCTTGGGCGAACAAAAGCTGCTGAAGACATGCATGCGTGGCTTCGAAACCCGGCCTAAACCCTAAATACATCCTACAGTCTCAGCTGGATAGGTCTCGAAGGATCTCGAGCTAATGTGACATCACGCAGATCGAGCTATACAGCTACTTGCCTATGCACACGTCTCGAA